ACTACTTTTGGGTCAGAGTGGCTGGCTGACCACAGTCCTGAGGGCCACCCAGCAGAACAGAACACCAGGCACGGTGTTCAACTATGATGTCGTTTTGAGTTCTACACTTGTGAGTGTAACAAATGGGATTAAAATATTTGCCAAGAAAATCAATGAGCCTCTACCAGACACGAAAGGATATTATTTAGATTTTTGGTCTTTCCCCTAAAGTACACAGTATAATGGTTATTTATATAGCATTTTTATTATCTTTGCTATTGGAAGTAATCTAGATGGGCCAGCAAGATGGCTCAGTGATTAAGACACTTGTGTTTGCAGACGATCTGAGGCTGCTTCCCAGCGCCCAGGGCAGGTAGCTCACAACTACCTGTGACCCCAACGCCAGGGGACCTGAATGCCTTCTTTTGGCTTTTGTGTGCACTGACACTCACATGTACATACCTCACACAGACACCCACTCATACATAATTAAAAATGAGATTTTTTTGAGGGTGTGCAGAATTTTTTTTTTACTGATTTTATTGAGCTATACATTTTTCTCTGCTCCCCTCCTTGCCTCTCCCCTCCCCTTCAACCAAAAATAAAAACATTTTTAAAGGTTGCTTAACAATGATTTCAAGTATCCAGGAGGGCATTTGCAGATGGTTTATAAATACTGAGTCAACTGTGTTAGACTCTTGATCATCTGTTCATTTGAGCACCCCAGTGGGGGCAGGGATAGGAAAAGCAGTCCCCTGGGATCACTGAGGGTAAATATATGTAGTTGGACATATTTGTCAACACTGCACACTGCACATTTCTGCACGTTGTCACCTCTGCCTGCTTCCCTTTTGATTTTTCGAAGCCCTTTGTGAAAGAAATGAAGCGGTTGTGTGCGGATGCAAATACTTAGTTGCCAAATACAATTTGCACTTGGGATCTGTCTCTCTATATTGAAGCTTTGTACTGAGGACTGCTGAAGCCTGATCAAGCTGGCTTGGCGTCTACATTGTGAGTCCTGGCTAGGGTGACTTTTCCCCTTTGAGGACTAGGAATTGATTCTGTTGTTTGCTTCAAGATCTTTTCAGCTAACCCATTTAAAAAAAAAAATGAAATCTTTAATCCACTTGGAGTTCATCTGTCAATTGCTGGAGGAGTGGGCTCCACTTAATTTTATTCCAGATGGTTCTACATATTATTTCATTAGTAAAATGTCTAACCTTTAACATCCTTCTATTTCTAAAAGAAAACGCTTCTGGGGCATGATTTAATTTTACTTTAATATACTTAAAATATGTAGGTTTTGAGCGCATCTTTTCATATGTTTATGTATACATGCAGGCATCTGTCTGCAGGGATGTATATAGGAAAACATAGACTTACAGTTTGCTAGCACCTTTCTTAAGGTTTCTGCTTGTGGTTTATGAGTGAGATCAGTCTGTACTTTTCCTGTCTTTCACTATCCATTTTGAGTTATTGGAAATGAGATCCCAGAGAACTCATAAAAACCTTGGATAGCCATTTCTCGTCATCAGCGCTCTGAAATGATTCTATAGCTATATGCACCTGGTGCTTTTTTGGTTAGGAAAACACTAACATGCCAACCAATTTTTTTTAATTACATGACCTTCACAGCTCTTGGAAAATTTTGTTGTTTCTTTCCCTAGAAAACAGTTTTTCACCCCAGTTGAAGCTTAAGAGCCTCATAAATTAGCTAGTCTGTTGCCTCCATTTTCATCCCTAACACTGTCTACTGAGAGCGCCTCCTTTTATTGCTGTTTCCTCTGCTCGTATCACTAATTTTCAAATCGCCTAAGGATGTGCCGACTCAGCATTTTGGTGGACTCCATCTGGGGCATTTTAGGGTCAAAGGGGGGGGATGACGGAGATACGATATAGATGGAGGCACGAAGGCAAACAGATGGCTCCGTCACCACCGCAGGGCAGCGTGGTTCATCTTGACAGGTTAGCAAAATCTTAATAATGCTTCTTTTTTTTTTTTTTTATTCTCAACTGTAAAGTACAAATTTTCCGATTTGATTCTTTTCATTTGTGTGGAAATAAGTGTCATGTTTTGTCATCAATTATGATGATAGTTTAGATGAATGAAGACCACCCCTCACCTTGACCCTACCCCAATTAAAAACACTTCAAGCAGCATGGGTGGTATGTTCAGTCAGTATAATTAATCACTTTGATCATCTCTACATCAGTGAAGTAACGGACTGAGGCTTGAAGGAAACACCAAAACACCAGAACATGGTTGTCATAGGCTTAGACATACACGATGCCCTCCTCACCCCACCCCACCTGACTACCTGGTCATCCATCTCATGTGGACCGCTCTCCCAGCCCTGTAAGAAAATGGCAAATTGTTATGGAATGAAGTCGGATGGCTTCAGTAATGCTGTGTCTAGCATGTCGCAGGCTTCCTGAAAAGTGAGTTCATTCTTCCCCTAGATTTAACCCAAAAGGTTGGGCTGGATTACAGGGTGATGTCACTGTAGGCATTCCTCAGTGCTCGCTCAGTGATCGATTTACTCATTCAGCAAGAATTTAAATTCCTGCGATGTGTAGATCCAGGATGAAATAGAGCATCGCCGTTCATTAATTTCTCTTTGCCAAGAACGTCATTTGCTTCACAGTAATAGCAATGTGTAGATACGGGATATCTGCAGTTGAGTCTAGTCACACACACAAACCAGTCAGCTGGGTCTTCCAGATTTTTATGGTTCTATTTGCTATGGAGCAACATGTAGCTACTCAAACTTAAGGTCTAAAACTAGATAGAATTCAGGAGTCGGTTCTTTTGTTACAAAGGGCATATTTTAGGGGCTCAGTAGCTACACTGACCATGAGCTATGATACTGGAAAATCTTCCAGAACATTCCCACCACCCCAGGAAGTTGTACCGGGCAGTTCCATCCTACAGCGAGTCAGCAGCAATGAATGTGGTGGAGATTCTGAGAACCGACCTGATTGACCTACACATGAGGCGGCTGACTGAATGCCTGTGGTTTTGACCTATACACAAGGCAGCTGGCCGAATGCCTATGGTTCTGGAAAACATGATTAAAAATAGTCCACTATTTCAACAAATGCTTCACAATGTTACTGCTGGTAACTTGCCCAGAGGTCTTCAAATTCAGGAATTCTGAATCCATGAACCACAAATTAATGTGATTTACTTTTATTTAGCAGCTCACTTTTAAGGCTCTCCTTTCTTTAACCCTATTGCCGACCACTGGTCATTTCCAACTCTGTCCCTGCCACTTGGACTTACTGTAAATAAGCACTTAGTTCCTGGTCGCTATCAGCTGTGAAACATTTGTTCTCTTTGGCCCCTTTCCTGGAATGTATCATTAGGCATTTTCATTGCTTTTGTGGCCCAAGTGAATCTTTACCAAAAGTATTGTCCCATTCTGACAATATTTGCCAACCAAGCCTGGTTAAAAATAGATAACTTATCATGAAGTTTCCTGTTATGCATGAATCACGGACTCTGATCTACAAAGGCCGATGTGTCACAGAGGGAAAGATTTTTTTTTTGATGTATTCAACCAAGTCACATTGCATGATGAAATACACACGGGTCAAAATGAGAGTCAGGTAACCTTGGGGCTAGGGGTTCTTTCCATTATAAAAGGGATAGCACTCAGTAAGGAGAGGGTGAGGCCACAGACATGTTGCCATAACTCTTGTTGACCCCATAGTTCCTTCGAGATTTCATTCTAATGAGAAAAAGGGTTTTTTGGGTTGCTGTTTTGTCTAAATATGTTTCCCCCCCATCCTTCCAGAGCTATGGTTGCAGGCTTGCTTCTTCTCTCCTGTCTACTCAAAGCCCATCCTGATGATGTGACGTGATCTTAAGCTTAACTTATTACCAAAGTCCCCCCTGACCCGGTTCCCTGTCCATCCTGCCTCATCTCTGAGAAGCCTTAGGAAAGGAATCCATAGCACCGCTTTGGAAATGCCTCATTTCAACTGACGCAAGCCGAGGAGGGCCAGGGGTAAGCCCACAGGCTCCGAGGGATAGACATCTTTATCAACCATCTCCACCCAATGAATACAAAAGACCTCGGAATCTGTTTGCCTACCTTTTCAACCCTTGTGCTCTCTCTACCAGAGGCCCCCTGAGAGGTGACCATCCAGTCCACTACCCCAGGCCAAACGGTCACCACCCCTATGTTAGACTGTGCTCAGCTGCCTTCACACCGCACATCAGTGGGGACAAACCCAAACCTGTGACCTACCTGCTTAAACCTCCCTTTTTGGTCGGGATAAGGACCAGAGGCTTGGCCTGGCCTACTTAGGTGATGCCTGCCATACTTTAACCTCACCTAACCACATTCCTTTCGTGTTCTAATCGTGCCTTGTAAGCTATTATCCCCGGAGTCCCTTCAATTCCCGGAAGAAGCTCAACTCGTTTCTGCCTTGGGGCCTTTGTGCACAGGGTCCCTGGCGCTTGACACTGTCTCCCAGTTCCCTGTCACTTAAGTCATGCTTACCCTGAATAAGGGTTCAGGGGTGACTTCCTTGTACTCTCTAGACATTAGTCATTAGACTTTTAGCCCCAGAATGGGCCCATCTTGGGCTTTTTCTGTTCTGACTCCATTTACAAGTTCCATGGCTGGTGTTTCTCTTTTACTTTCTATTGTATTTGCTGTTCCAAACAACCAGCCTGGCCCTAGAAGTATCAAGACACATTTGTTTACTAAGTCAATGGACAGTAATTACTTGATGTGACCGGTTAGCATATGAAAGACATAGATTTTTTACGACCCTGACTTCAAATCTCAACTCTGCCACTTGCAGTAGATAGTAGACAAGTGACGACCTCTCTAAGCTATAATTCCCTCACTAGTAAATCAGCCATAACTGTATGTACATGAAGCTTCTGGAAGGTTCCCAAAGAGGCACACTCCTTAGTATCACCATCTCTAACTTAGAGACCAGAGACTGAATATCCTCTGCTGAGGCTGCAGAGCTCCCCAGGAATAAGCGACAGACACCCCAAAGGAAACAGATAGTAACATTTTTTATTAAATATTACAGTGGATCAAAAAGTACAAAATATCTCTTGCCTGCTATGTGATTGGGAAACTATTGGCACGGAATACAGTATCAAAAGCAGTAATAAGTACAATTTGGAAAACATACAAAATTGAGTGTTTATAGTTGGCTCAGCATTCTTCTGGTAGTGTTCAAACTAACGCAAAGGTTACTCAATAACCTCTCCATTGGGAAATTATATAACATCACTGGGCCAGGTTGTTATATACAAATGATCACCTTACAGAGCTTAGAGGTTACATAGCCGGAGTCACTCAGAGTGTACAATATTTACAACACAGGGAAGTTTAAAAAAGTATAAACAGCCAAGAGATTATGCTGCTATTTTTTTATTTTTTTAATTTTTATTTTTTTGCAGAGATCTTTCTGCCATGGGGAGACAAGCAGAATATCAAATACATCAACAACCAACACTGGAGCCGAGGTGCTCAAAGTCACTACTCCAGGGGTGTGGGTCTCACCAGGGCAAAATCATTCCCGTTACTCTCTTAGCTCGGGACAATGAGAGTCAAACTAGACCACATGGGACGTGGCTGACCACCACCAAATGTGACTCAGTGGGACAAGAAGTGAAGAGAAATAATGGTTCTCTTTGAAGGCACACTACATAAAATATATCTGTGGGATCACCTTGACATTTCCATCAGACACACCAACACAATGAAATACAGTACTTGAGGATTCATGCACCAGGTCGCAAAGCTGTGACGTCAACACAGAGTCTGGACAAACCCTTCCATATATGCCCTGATGAACCAGCAAACTTGCGAGCTTCTAGCTAGGAAACAAAACAGTCCTGTGGCAAACACTACACGTTTCAATCACTTACTAGGAAAAAAATACTTTAAACCTAAAGCTTGATTGGGCTGTCATGGTATTTTATTTTTACTTTATAATTTTATCTTTAAGCCAAATTGCCAAAAGTTAGGTCCAGGAGTTGCATGGAGATGATATATTTTTAAATATTATTTAGAATCTCCAACTCTCCAATAATTCTCGGGCTGAGTGCATTTTGAATTGCAACATTTCTCGGAAGCCACACTTGGTAAATGGATTTATGACTCCAGTGCCAATTGGATTCCACAGTTTCCTTTACAGAACTACCAATAACAATGGTTTGATTGCACAAAGAAAGGCTTGTGCAACGCCATTCAATAATAAGGCCCCTTGAACTCAATGCAAACAAAGCCTGATTTAAGACTTTTTAAAACGTCCTTCTCAGCCAATGAAAAAAATTCAATGGTCTTTTTGAAAGATTTCCAAGATCTCCGTTTGGAGTTTTAAAATAAATAACACCCCGCTTCTGTTCTTTGCATTCTGTCCTGATGTTTTTGCCGAGGGTCTGAGCTTCCTTCAACAGAAACAGCGAGTCTCCTCTCGGAAGAGATGAGAAAAACAATAGCTGGACTATGTTGACATTGTTTGAAAATGGTGTGATCGAATTCCTACACGATGAACACATCTCGACTCACCACAGTGAGGAAAACAATCGCCCCATCTTGCAAATGGGTGAGCTCGTGAGGGAGCGGGGGGGGGGGGGGGGACACACACAGACATCCCCATTTTCTTCGAGAAACGAACTCACAGGGACCACGTCTGGCTCCAGCCCATGCCTGCTGCGGAATCCCTGGTCCTTTGCTCCTCTTCTGATTCTGTCACTATTCAATCTAGTGCAACTTTCTCATACTGTGTCCTGGCCAGCATTCTGCTGGCTGGAATTGAGACCCGTCCCCTCACACATACACACACACACACACTCTTTCTTGCGCAACTGCAGAATAATCTGCATGTGCACATTTATGATCTAAGTTATACTAGTCTATCTATGGTCCTATTAAATATAATATATATATATATATTATTCCACAGGAAGGTAAATAATTAATTGAAGCGAATGGAACTCTTAACACTGGGTCGCTACATTCTTTTGTTTCCACCTTTGGATAGCAGTGACTACATGGACTATTTGGCTTCATATCATGAGGACATTTCCATACAAATGAGTGGCATGCATGGCTTTGCGAAAGAACCGCAGTTTCACGGTCACTGGTTTCGATTATTTTTGTAGTTGAGTTAACCTATTCAGAGATGTTGGAAACTGTCATCAAGTTTCATAGACTTAAATATGCCAGAGGTAAAAATAAAAAGACTTGGTTAACTATGGTCCCAGAGTCTATTGGTAGTGTTGGGGGAGAGGAGGATGGTGGGCTGGGGACCTCTCAAAGCAGCTTTTGGCAGGGATGGGTGGAGATGGGAAAAGGAGTCCACTCTATGCAACCACTTGCTACACTTAGCAGATGTGGTGCCTTGGGAGCAAAAGGAATCAAGAGTCAAGAGTGACAATAAAAATATATATATATATACCCCAAAGTGGACAGTATGACCACGTGGTGAAAAACTTGATACGAACCACCTTATGTATACACATCCTCATCAAAGCCACCCCCCAGAAACCCAAGGAGGATGGCTTTCTTTTGAAACAGATTATCCAGTTACTTCTCTAAGATTGTAACCTGGAGGAATCTTGCTAGGAAACTCAAGAAGTTAGCTGACGGTGGCAATAACTCTGTCACTCAAACGGGCCAAGGGCCTGGCTGGGATGCCCAGTGATCAGACCTTAGGTAACTCCTCTTCTGCTGGATGGTCACACACACACACACCATCCCTTTCCAATCCTCTTCTCCAGACCATTCAAAAGGTGCAGTTCCAACACCAGCGTGAGTCACCCTGGCTCTTAAGATGTGAAATTCCTAAAGCATCTTCACAGCCCACTAACTAGTATGTCCTCTAGACTGTTCTTCCGCGGCTTTTTGCCAACAAGGTTTTTGTTTTATGATTTCTCTGGTATGCAGGACGGGTTCACAGCCTAGATAACACGAGTCCAATGTTTAATATTTTCACATAATCCAATACTTCAAAGCAAAGCATTTGGCCAGAGAAGCAGTGTCTAAGCTCCCTCAACTATGCCCCTTATGAGGAACAGATTCCTCAAGGCGCAGACCCGCGAAGGCACGGGCTTTCGGCTGGCTCGTGTTCCTCCGCGGGGTTCTTTTCAGTCTGTTCCACTAAAATCAGTTGCTTCAATTTGTAAACAATAACTTGACCACCCAAAGCTGCTCAAAAGAAGATGTGGGGGGAGGGGGGATTGAGAAAATACACATTAACAACTAGGGGAGTCAGTCGGCCTTGCAAACAAAACAAAACAGAACAAAAAAATACTAAAAAACAAAAAAGACCTGCAAATAGAAGGGATACTGTTTAATTAAAAACAAACAAACAAACAAACAGATAAACAAACCAAAAAATACCCCAGGGCAGGAACAAGAAAGAACCAGGAGAAAACAGAACTATCTGTATAAATTAGGTGAGCGGACAGTGAGACGGGTATCTTTAAGAAGCGAATATATACAGTTTAACAGTGTTTACTTCTCTGGATTGTTTAATAGTGTCAGAATGAAAGGTCTCTTTAAGTTTAACTATACATTGCATTGATTGAACTTGGTGAGTTGTATGAAAAAGAGGGGCGTTCCCCTGGCTATTACTTGCCAGTCTCTTTTGCCCTATGCTTCGAAAAGCCTGCCCCACTTTTTTTTTTTTTTTTTTTTTTTTTTTTTTTTTGCCCAGATTGCTTCCTTACCATCCAAACTCAGAGGGGTCCTCTGAGTTCTTCTGGGATAGACACAGATACCTTCAGAAGACCAACATCGAAAAGGAAATGACCTGGAGGCCCTAGGCCATCTGTGTTGGAAAGGAGGTCACAACTGGCCAGCCAGGCTAGGGTTGTCCCCAAAAAGATAGGCATGTTCACCTGGCCTTTAGGCCTCTATGGCTGGGACGAAGGGTACCACCGGATCAGAAGGAATACTGACTTCCAACTCTGCAAGCCAGCCCTCCAGGGTTGGGTGCACGGACCCCGCAGTTTGAGGGTTGCTGGGCACAGCGAGGCTTACAGTTTCGTGCTGGGGTGTACGGACGACAGCTGAGACGGGGGAAAGGCAGCCTGAGGGTTGATAGCAGCTAACGGGTAGATGCTATTGTGCAACAGGTCCCCGTAGGAACTTCCTACGGGGGTCGCTGCGGCCAAGTGTCTGTACAGCTGCTGAGAATTGGTCGGCGATGTGAAAATTCCTCTTTGCATCACGAGCGAGTGGAAAGCCAGGGGCTGCATGAGAGGAGAAAGCACCGTCTGGTTCTTCAAGTACTGCAGAGAATGGGAGTACCCGGCCGGGAGCCTGGAGTTGAGGCCTGAGTTACACAGGCTACCAGAATACAAACCTGGAAAGATGGGGGAGGAGACCGGAAGCTTGTGACCTTCCGACGCAGGCCCAGAATGCCCACCGTAGGCTCCTTTGCTGCCCTCGCTCTCCTGTTCAGAGGCCTTCTCTTTCCCAGAAGCCTCCTTGGAGGGGTCCAAGGGAGACACAGCTCTGGCTTTTTTCCCGGCAATCACAAGATCTAAATCCTCCAGGCTGCGCTTTATGGGGCGAGCAGCTCCAATGTTCTGAGGACTCATCTTCCGGTGCAGGATGGGATGGACCATGCCTTCCATTTTTCTGAAGCTCTCCAGTCTCACATGGTGAGGTTTTCCCGACCTTGCAATCGACTCGGGGTATTTTTTAGGGGTCGACATGGTCATGGGTGACACCCGGCAGGCTTTGGGGTGACAGTCTCGATTCTGGCCGCTGATGACCTGGTATTGGGAGGCGCCTTTGATCTCCTGGGACCCCGAGGCTGAGTGGGCCAGGCCTAGGACTTTGCTGGTTAGTTTCTGTGGGTTCTTGGGAAGGCTCAGGTCTGTTGGTTGGTCATCTCTAGCGGCTTCCGCCGCAGCCAACTTCTTATCTTGCTGATGGAGAGAGGCGAGATGATTGACGTGGATCTTCTCCGGGTGTTTGTGAGAAAGAAAAGCGCCGTTTTCAGATTCCTGGTACATGTCCCTAGAGGCGTACTTGGGCGACTGTTCGTTATGAAGATGGTGTTCCGTGTGCCGGTAGAGGCTGTGGAGATGCGGGGAAGAGTAGAAGTCGGCCAGGAAACTGGGCACGTGGCCGTGGGAGACGGCTCTTTTCTCTAACACTTTGTCCTTTCCCTCCTGGACCTCTTGTTTCAGGGCGTAGGAGTCGGCCAGGGTGCTCAGCTGGTGCTTGGAGAGACCGCAGCGGTGAGCATCGGCCCGACTCAGTTTGTCATGCTTGAAGATATCATTGATGCTCTTTCTCTCCTCGGAGGCCTTGCTTTTGAAGCTCTGGACGTGTTGGATTACCGATGGCCGGCTGACGGCCATGTGGTCCGAGCTTTGGCTGTGGTGGGCCTGGGACAAACCCGAGCACAGGTCGTCCCTGGCAATCAGTTTCTTTTTGCTGATCAAAGGGGGTGGGGAGCCATAGGGGTAGCTGCTGGAGAGGTTGGCCCCGCTCACCTGAGACAAAAGCTTCTTCTTGGCCAGTGGGGACATGATACCAGGATTGCCCCGGGAGTAGAGCAGGGGCGTGTAATTAAGTCCATGGTTCTCGTTCATGGGCCCGGTCAAGTCTTTGTCTTTGAACATATCAAATGATTGGACCACAAGGACCTTCGGGGTCTGCTTGAGGGCAGTGTGGATGTCGTCACTGCCCAGCTGGTCCACCTTCACAGTGCAGTTGGCAATGTAATTAGCCATGGCAGGAAGCTTGTCTTCCTCTGCCTCGTGCTGGCTTGCCAGTGGTGGCTGGGTGGCGGGGAAGCTGGTAAAGGATGCTTCTTGGAGGTCACTTTCAGAGCTCTCGGTAAAGCTGCAGGGTTTGGCTTCTGGCTTTGAGTCCATTTGGGCACTGGGCGAGGCAAGGGGCTGCTTGCCAGCCCCAGGGGTAGGAGCTGACTCTCTTTCAGGAGGCAGGGGAGGGCTTGGGAGCAGAGGGGCAAGGCCCTTGTCTCCCCCCTCCTCAGCCTCCTCACTGTTGGAACCTTGGTGAGTTTCACTGCCCTTTTCTGGTTCGGGTCTGGACACTGGGGCCCTCGCTGCAATGTCCTTGTGTCCTTCTGACTTCTTCTTCGCCTCTGGAGCTGGGAGAGGCTCCGTGACACTTTTCTGGTTCAGCGTCTCCTCCTCCCTCCCCTGCTCCGCTGAAACCTGGACAAACATTGCAGGAGACATTTAGAAGAGGACCACGCACACCGACACACACTTCACTAGGAAATAAAGCATCATCACCCACTGCAGGCTTGAAACAGGGCTTGCCAATCAGCTCACCAAGTTTTCATAAGGCTTTATTCCTCCCCAGTCGCGCCCTAAGCAAAGAAATCTAAATTACGGAAACATTCGGGGAAACCAGCACATTCGCTCCGGCCCCTTATGAGAAGACACCTATCAGAACAGCAGAGTGACGTACGATGATCAGTATCACTCCTTCACCGTAATATATAGTTTAATCCTGAGGCTGTCAAATCAGTCAGTTATCCAAACAGGTTTTAAATTACACATTGCATTTCATGATGCTTCTCTGAAAGATTTTTTTTTTTTTTTTAAAGAGCATCTCTCGTTCTCCTTCAAACAATTAAACCAACCCCATGGCAGTGACAAACAACAAACAACGCCTGGCTTTTCCTGGAAAGCCGTCCCTTCCTAACGGAATTCGGTGGATCCGCCGGAAACCAGCAAGGTTTACACCTTCATCATTTCTTAGAACTCCGGGATGGGTAGATCTTGTTAAAATACCAAAGACACACGTAGATGGAGTGCGTGCACCCAGGGCCAGGGTCTCGTCTAGGTCCTCCCATGACACACCAAACTGATTTGTTTTCAAAGCCGAACGTGACTCAGGTGGGCTGTGTCACCCCCCCCCCCTCCAGGACAAGTTGATGTTTATTGAAATAAACTGTCATCAAGGGGACGGGTGCTTCCTGTGTGCAGTAGTTATGGGCACAGCTCAACCCCATTTACTACCTGGAGTCATAGAAACTTTAACCTCAAAGATGAATCTAAGTTCACAAGCCTTTCCATAATGGATCTGACATGCCTCAGTGGGACAGTCACGAGACATTTGAACTGAGTTGGTCCCCACTCCCTCAGCCCAATCACATCACCAGGACATTTTTCTACTATGAAGACGCCACCAAGTGCATCATATCTCTGACAGCAGTATGGAGGGTAGTTAGGAAAAGTAATCTCAAGGATTAATATCCATTTTGTAGATTTTTTCCCCCTCGGATCCACATGAAGATATCCTCACCAGTCAAGTGTGTGATTCTCAAGAGCCTGCCCCTCTTCTTGCACTAATAACTGTGTTTTTAAGTGCAGGCATCGTTGTCAGTTTTACACTAATAATCGTCATTTGTCTCTTGAGCGTATACATTCAATTAAAAGACATAAAAATGAGTGACCGCAAAAGGCAAATTTTGCTCAGTTCTTCAAAATTTATGTGACCGCGGCCTTAGGCTACATTGGAGCCTCGCGTGTCTGTCTATAAATCCAGTTTATGGATGGATTTGAAAATTAGGCCAACAAAAGTAAAAGGATTTGTTTCTCCGCCCCCCCCCCTCCCCAAAGATGATGCTTTCTGAACTTTCTGGGTCTGTTCAAGGACCGTGTCTCACTCTGTATTTTGTAATCTCCAAGGAGAGTGGATTTGACTAGACCCCTCCTCTCTTCACTAAGTTTAGTGCTTCAGATTGAAAGCATCAAAAACTACAGTATGGCATTAAATGCAAACCCGAAACCTGGCTCGCAGATATGCTGAATTGCTAACATAGGTAGTCCGTGGGCTTGGTTCTTACCGTGCGGATCATTTTAAAGGGGTTGAGACATCAGGACTTCCTAGAGCAGATTTAGAAGCTCCAAATGCCCAAAGCCCAGTTCAGAAAAGGCAATCTTTGGCAATAGAATGATTTCCCTGTGGAGGACAGGGAGCCCCACAGCTGTCGGAGGTTTGCTGGACTCTGGAGCAAGGCTGTTCACTCTAGTCTCGGCAATGGTCGTCACCTGAGCTAATGGGCTCCATGGCAAGACTAAGTAAGGATCCTTCTTCCCACGGCTCACAAGCTCACTGTTTCGAATTTTCCCCACTCCAGCGGAGCCATTGGAAGGTCAGCTGGCTCCATGATCCTCCAGGCATCTGCTGGTGCTTTGGCTGGAGTGGACATCTGGTGTCTAATGGAACTGACCAATCCAAAGCCCCGTGATAAATCACCAAGCCAGCAGGATCAAGGAGGAATGGAATGTAACCCTTAACTTGGAATTTCCTTGCTTTGGGCCATTTATGTTGCAAACTTGCAAATGTTTAGAAGTCTGCATCATCTAGTATTTTTCTTCCTTTTGGAGTGACTAGGACTTAAGATAATTATAAAACTTAATAAATCCAGGCCTGGCTCAGACTGGGACAGTAGGATTGTGAGTTCAAGTCCTGACTAGACTACAGCATGAGTTTAAGGCCAGCTTCAGCAACTTATGGAGACTGTCTGAACAAAAAGCTAACAGATATTCAGGATATAGCTCAATGATAGGACACTTCACTACTGTGTGCCAAACTTGAGGCTTGAGGTTCCATTTCCAGTGAAACAAAGTATTAAAATTATCGTTTTAAGGAGGAATCTACTGGGAGTTGATGTGTGTGTGTGTGTGTGTGTGTGTGTGTGTGTGTGTGTGTGTGAGAGAGAGAGAGAGAGAGAGAGAGAGAGAGAGAGAGAGAGAGAGACTGTGTTTAAAACTGGTATTTAATGAAGCTGTCTCTTACATGTTCATTATAAGCCTGGTTTTTAGAGAGTGTTTAATATCAGTACCCAAATTCCCTCAGGGCTTGAATCCTAGAACATGCTGTCTCCAAATCTAACTGCTTTAAAAAAAAAAAAAAAAAACGGGCAGCAGGATTTTTATTATTCATGTTGAAACAGAGCCCAGTTCGGCCTCCTTGGTTGGCTGGATGCTACCAGTCATGCTTTTTGCTGAAGAGCTCCTAGCGCTGGGGCTCAGAAACCACCTCTTACCATGAGCGAGAACACTGGTTTCTGTGAAATCACTTCGAAATTTCTCCGTAAACAACACAGACCCAAAGATCTCGCTGAATTGGTCTCAACCCAAGGGTTTTGAATGGAGGTCAAGAATGAGAAGCAAACATCCCTAAATTTTGGGAGAGGGGCCCAAGGAGACACTCAGGGTCTTAGCCCTCCTTCCTGATACCTGCTCCCCACCCCCACTCCCCAAGTCACACCGACTCCTTCAATAATAACGGTTGTGAAATCCCCCAAGAAGCCATGTTTACCCGGGGGAATCCTAAGTTTCAGGAGGGTTTAGTTCGGTCTCCAATTTAGTTTAGTTTGGTCTCCAGTTCTGAGTCTTTGCTTCCAATTTCCTCCAGGGTGTTCTCGTCTTTCTAGATTCTTCTAGATTCTAGTCATAGCCTATGCCTCTCTGTACCATGCACACCGCACCTAAGCTCCCAAGGGAAAGAAAGCTTTTTTTTTGGTTTTTAGAAGATTTTAATTAATTATTATTTGTGTGTGTGTGTGCGTGTGTGTAAGTACCCTCGGAAGCCAGGAGAGGGCAATGGATTCCATGGAACTGGTTACCGGCAGTTATGAGCTGCCCTCTGAGGTGGGTGCTGAGAACCCAACTTAGATCCTCTGGAAGAGCAACAGTTGCGGAGCCATCTCTTCCAGAGTCCATAAGAGAAGGGTTTGGAAAGTTATTTTTGAGAGTTTGTTTATTTTTTATGTATGTGTGTGCAGGCCAGTGACTAACATTCCAGACAGAATCAGTGCTCTCCTTTCACCGTGACTGTCCTGAGGATCAAATTTAGGCCGTCAGACTTGGCAGCAAGCGCCTTTACTCACTGAGCCTTCTTGCCAGCCCAGAGACTAGGGTTTGTGACTTCTCAGAGCAGCCATGACATATAGAGACCCAGCTGGAGATTCTGGGGTCTGGAAACTCTGGGGGCAGAGTAGGTTTCCCAAGGCTGGTATCTCTGGGAGACACAGCAACTCACCTCAGATGTATCCTGGGGCTTTGGTGTGTTCTCTTTTTCTTTCTTGTTTTTGGGCAGTTCATGTTTGATGCGCTTGGTTCCCGACACTTTTGTTCTGTTCTCGTTTTCCTGCGAATTGTTCTCCTGTTTCCGAGGTTTGATTGGCGGCAAAGGCTTATCTTCTTCTCCCTTGATAAACCTTTCATATGGTAGGATTAACCTGAAGGGAAAGCAGAAGAGATGGTATATCAGATGGCCAGTTCTCATGACAACATCACCCTGGGCTTGCTTCCTCTTCCTGTACATGATGCACTCTGTAGGGATACATTCTCAGACTCCTCAGGGATGCTGAAGCTGTTAAAGCACCAATCTCGCTCTCTCTATCCTATACTTTTCCTATGCTTGAATACCTAAAACAGTTAAATTTAAAAATTAGGCAAAGTAAGCGATTAGAAAATGTAACAATAAAATAAAACAACTGTAACAACATACTGCAATAAAAGTTACATAAATGTAACTCTTCTGAACAAGTCAAGACGGGTGTTGTTTTCTAACTATGGCTGACCATATTGCTGAAACCAAGCAAAGCAAAACCATGCATAACTAACTTGTTGAGTGACCTCATCACCATGACATGCATACTTCCAGGGGCTTACTCTACGTAATCTACTTTATTAGTACAACTTGGTTATCTGGTCACTTAAACGTGTCTCCGAAAGACTGCTACCAATGGAGGTGGCCAAGGTTGACATGGTCACCATGGCCCGTAGCACTTGGCTGATTGCCAACGACATCGGCCAATAAGGACAGTTGCTGTCCATGTACTCTTCTGTCAAATGTACACTGAGTACCCACCCTATGCCAGGCACTGCTCCAACTTCTGAAAAGACAGCCATGAACAAAACATCCAAGACCTCTGACCTCATTCAGCTTCTATTCTAAGACAGGCTAGGTACAGGTGCGAATCATTCCATATAATCCCCACCACATCTCTTCAGATTAATGCTCTTAACATCACCATGAGTTTCATGACCATCATCCTTCTCCTGAGACTAAAAAAAAGGGCCCAAGGGTCCCCACATCTGTTAGAGCTGGAGTTTGGTGTTCACCTCAAAATGTAGACCCGACGGTATACATTCGAAAGAAACTGCTATCGTGAAACCCAACCCTAGGTACAACAAACATACACCACTGAAAAATAGATATATTTTATATGTGTATAACATATACAACAATGTAAGTTTATATAAAGTATATACATATACATATACACACACACACACACATAAAATCACTCCCCACTTCTACACATTGAAGTTCAATTCAATTTGGCCATGACAGATCGTGTATCCTCTAGCCCCGAAGGCCATCAGAAGCTCTGTATTTTGGGGGACTGAGGAAGAAGGGGGTGCCAAGTTAGAAGGGGCCCCAGCGAGGAGGAAGCCAGCTAACCACGAAAGCAACAAAAATCAGAGGGCTGAAAACCCCGAGCATTTTAATTACATAACTTTTAAAAACAAAGTGCGTAAAATTGCTCTAAAAAAGAGAAGCATCAAACGGCTCTGGTTTTAATCTGTTCCCTTTGCGACACAGCTCTTGATCTGAACGGGGAAGGAGCTGATGTAATTAAAAGGCATGGATTGCATTACAATCCGAGTTTCGACTTCAGTGATTAAAGTTTCTCTAATGCATTTGGTATGATTAATGACTCACTGTGGGATTAATACAAGACTCAGCCTTAAAAATATGAACCTTAATACAGCAAACATAATTTGTTTTAAATACGACAAGTTGACTCGATGAAGAAAATGTACTTGGCTGACAGAAAACAATCTGTTCAAAATATTGGGAATCCTTTATTTTTAAACTAGGACTCCGAGGCAAGGAAAAAAAAATCCTGATTTGGAATATTTGTTGAGTATCTTAAAATTGGTTTCTGATTGTACAATTTGTCCACTAGCTCCTTAAATATTCACCACCTTCCAGGCTCCACAGTCAGACATGGGGATATTTGAGACACTGATGGTCCATTCTTTAACAGCAAAGCAAATTGTGGAAAAGACAAATGCCGGTTTCTGGTATTTTAGGACCCAAATCCGTTCACTGAGCATGCTCAGACAAGGTATGTGCAAGGAGGCATGGATAATACTTTCGAGGCCTCTGTCTGGCAGCGGGCCAGCCACGAAGATCAACACAACCCATGGGGGATAGTTATCTTCAGATCCCATTACAACCCGAGTTTAAACATGTTACAGCTGCTCAAACTGGAAACTGCTCTCTTAATGTAGACTTACTAAAATAATATATGGTTGCCAAATACCTGCTTCCCACCATAATATTACAGCGCGTGTTTATATAGGGAAAAGCATAACTACGCAGAAGAGAGAAAGAGGCAGTCTTGTTCATACTTGAATTTATACTGTCTCATCTTTAAAGTCCCTGACTTATTCCCTCCAGTTCCTCTGTTCCTTTGCGTTTTACTGCCAGGGACTTAGTCCCTTTTCCGATATTGGAAGGTAAGGGCTTTTTGAACCAGGAGCAGAACGCATTGAATATATTTTAAACTGGAAAAATATTTTAAATTGATTTTAATGAAAACACATTTTATTGTCGGGACAGATAGGTTTGTTGTGCTTTTGTTTTGTTGCCATGGGAACCAAGGAGCTCAGAAGCGGTGGTATTCCACCGGCTGCCATTTGTGATAGTTCCCTTCCCCCAGTTCCCTTGTCTGATGAAGATGGTGAGTTTCTGAAGGGCCCTCGTTCTTGAGAATGACAGCGCTGAGTGTGAGGAGGAGAAGGAAAGAAAGCAGAGAGCAAGGTGGGGGAGACACCGGGGACCCTCAGAAGACCCTTACTCCGGGTACTGACAGGCTTATGTTAACCTAGCTCTCTAGTATAAACCAAGGAAGAGCATGGTTCTATCTTACAATTTTGCAAGTTCATGAGGCTAGGCACTCTCTCTCTCTCTCTCTCTCTCTCTCTCTCTCTCTCTCTCTCTCTCTCTCTCTTTCTCTCTCATCTTTTCTCATTTTGACTTAACTTAGCAGCTGGCGAGCCTCCAGCTGTACAAAATATATTTCACTTTGCTGGTCAAAGGCCTGAAGCCAGAAGGCAGGAAATCAGGAATTAAATGTTTCTTGTATCTGGAAAGAGGCATGACTAAGGGTAAAACTGAATCCAAACACAAGCGCTGCTTGTTCAAAGCTTGCAGAAGGGTGTGTGTGTGTGTGTGTGTGTGTGTGTGTGTGTGTGAAGGTCAAACGAATGTGTTTTTTTTTTTCCACTTCTAAATCAACTTCTAAATCATTGAAAGATAATTATAGTCACTCAGAGGGATTAAAAAAAAACCTAAAATAAAACAAGAGAGGCATCAGCTAAACAGAAAGCAGTAGAAATATGAGCTCTGGAGAACAGGGCACATTCCCACACAGTGCATAAACAAACCCTGCTTCGTTCAGTGACTTCCGTTTGTGGTGACTTCCTTGAGTGTTGTGTCAGTCCTCCTGTCTCGGTGCAGCACAACTACCCCACCGGATGTGATCTTATCAACCAATTATTAGAAGTTTGCCTTTTTTTTTTTTTTTCCAGCACAAGAGGACAAAAGCTACGACAGGTTTCTGAACATTTCAATGATCAACGCACTCGTGTTATCATTAAAAAACAGGTTAGCCACTCTGAGATCAACATTGCCCAGTACAGGAAGCTGTGCAGGTTTGGAGCCTATGAAAGAATGCAGTGTAATACAGCATGCCAGTGCCTCTCAGAGGATGGTTTCTCAAATATTGGTAGGACAACCAAGATTTAATCAGCTTCGAAACTGGACGGATCAAAAGCAAACATGTATCTTCCCCCACCCCAGCACATGCAAGAAATGTATCCATTATACAGAAGAAATATTCTCGTCCTGTTACAACTCGGAGAATGTAGGCTGAGTCTCGGGTGGGTGGTAGCGGTGGGGCAGGAGAAGAAATACTCTCATTAGTTAATCCATACAGATTCCCGCCCCACATCTAGGTCAGAGATTGAAAGCTGGGGAGATAAATGGTTCTCCCTTCTTGTCCAGATTTCAGATTAGCAAAATGCTTATTTACGATGCCATTAATGGATGGGAACGAGGCAAGCCATCACGCATTTTAAAAAAAAAATAATAATAACAGCTTTCCCTAGGCATAAGATTTGGAGCAGCATGAGATTTTATTTTTCCCCAGGAATAATACAAGAATAACATTTTTTCACCTCAGAGCAGAAACAGTAGGGGAGCCTTTTGCTATCACAGAGATCCTTATTAAATTCAGTCACTGTGAAAAGACAGATTCTAACCCCCTCCTTATTCTTCTCACTTAAAAAAAAATAAGGAAGACTTAAAAATCAACCCAAGTTAAAATTAACAAATCAATGGCATGATGGCCTTGATTTATTAATGTCTGAACCACTAAATTATCATCATACAAGAAATTGTCGGCTGGAAAATACCGTGGCTTTGCTAAATCTCAAGTTGAATAATAATAGCACTCAGCACACTAGGTTTTTCGATATGCGTCATCTGATATTATAAAATATTCAATACATTTCTCTCCAGCGGAAGTCAGGGGTCAGCAAATCTATTACTGTAATGTAAGAAATCTGGCAACTCGCCAGCTCTCTCTCCCTTTCGTTATTATTTTTTTTAAACACTGAGGCAGATAATTTTATATTTACAAAGTCTGCCGTCCTCCAGGGCCTTGCCTCTCTTTCTCAACAAAAAAGCAGCAGTCTGATATTAGAGAAGCATGCGTGGGCCACGTCATTTGCACTTCATACAAAAGAAAAGACACTCATATTTATGAACACCCCCTCTCTTCCCCGTCAGAAGAGGAAAAATTATGTCGTGTCCCATCCTAATGAGTGACCACTAATGTCTCCTGAATCAATACGTATTTGTATGGATGGAGTGAAGTTTTGGGCCGAAACACTTAGCAAATGGTCCTTAAGAGGAAAAATGAGAACCCATCTATTGATAGAGAGCTCTGAAAAGGATATTGTAATCATGTCCGGAACTGATTCAATTCAGAGAATTAGGGAAGGGAGTCGGGGGGTCTTTAGGGTTGCGTTTGAATCTCAAGCCTTCCTCAGCTAGTTCACAGGCAAAATTACTGTATTAAACCGATTTTTTTTTTTTAAAGAATTCAAGTTTGAACATGTGCTATAAACTGTGGAGCAGAACAAGTTAGGGGCAGAG